AGGTGGCGCCACCTCCCAACCATCCTGCAAAGCAGCGGTGAGCCCTCGAAGGCAAAAGACCTCTTCCATGGCAGATGGCACCACCTTTGCTGAAAAGGTTAGCGGTGAGCTCTCAGGGCTTTGTCCCTAGGCAGGTAGACCTCCCAGCATCCACTGAAAGGCAGCTATGAGCTCAGCCATCGGAGGGATAAATATCTGCCCTAAGGTAGGTGGCGCCATCTCTGCAGTGAGCTCCCATTGGACAGAGTATCCAAGACGTGGTAGGTGGTGCCTCCTCCTCCTCCCGACCGTCCTTGTCAAGCCACGATGAGCTCAGGCACAAATACCAGCTCGGGAGCAAGTGGCAATGCCATCACTGAAGAGCACTGGCAAGCTTCTCGGGTTCAGTTGAGGTAGGTGGCGCCACCGCTCGACATCCGCTGACAGGCAGCGCTTACATCGGAGGGACAAACATCTGCCCTAAGGTAGGTGGCGCCACCTCCAGCAGCGGTGAGCCGCGAGCTTCCAGGGACAAAATACCCCATCTGAGGAAGATGGCACCACCCTCGCCGGAAGGCAGCTGTGAAGTCTCAGGGAAAGATACAGATACCCGCTGTGAGGTAGGTGGCGTCATCCCTGTGCCGTCAGCTCCCGCGGACAGAGCATATGAGATAAGGCAGGTTATGCCACCGGCACAGAATGACAGCTAATAGCTTCCTCGCGACTGTCCATCACATTCCCTACCACAATTCCTGGTGCAAACCATTGTCGGACATCAGCCTGTTACCTGACCGGTCTACCCATTGCATAACACCAGGCCAAATTGGGCCAGTGGAGCCAGCACACATCGCAATGCTGTATAGCTGGTTGAATTGAACGCCCAGTGTTCACTCCCGCGCGGCTAGAGCGGCGTCAATGGTCGGTCGGAAGCTGCCGTACCCGGATCGGTCACGCACCGTCATGCGTGACGAGTGAGTCACGTCACCGATCTGCACACACCACTGCACCAGACCGTCACGGGAGCCGAGTACGGTGGGGCCGAATAAGAATTTATGCGCTGACGCACGCAATTCATAATTGATAGGTACGGCCATCGGTGTAGCGACACGAATGTTCTCGTATGAGCCTTATTACATAATTATTGGCAAAATTTTGTATAAAAACCAGCACCAGCATGAAAAGTTATATTTTTCCTTTTATTATCAAAAACAGATGAGCTTTCGACAGCGCCGTGGCAATAAAGGCATCCCGTAACTGAATTTCACATACATCTTCCCCGACCAACTTAATGACCTGAGGAGCTTTGACCTGAGGTCAACACTAAAAAAAAAATCTTCCCCGAAGACCTGGCTGCTCTACCTTTTTTCGTAAAATAAATAATTCATCGAAGACCAGCCCTTGGATTTTTGACTTGGCCTCAGAGCTTACCGAGTGAATTGAGATCAATCGCTGAGTCTCGATACAGAGCACCCACTTTCCGCTTAGCAGTTAGCTCTACCTCATTTAGAGCAAAACGGCGAAGGTGGGTCGTATTTTCCTTTGGCTCCCTTTACACGTTATGTAGAAAACGATCGGTCACACGAGGGCTAACTCTTCAAGTCGTTTTAACTGTGTCCGAGGGTACGTCAATTGATTCAACGAACATCTGACTGTCCGTGCTGCTAAGTTCTGTACCCATAGTTATAATACAGACTGGAGGGACACTGATAATGAGGGGCATTTGAAAGGCATTGGGGTTGAATTTTGAAACGATGGGTGTGACCGAATCATGCACGCACTGGCGTTTTTATGCAGCCAGCGGCGGCGGCCTGTTCCACGATCTGTGACCTGTGCCCTTCCGGTGTCCTCCAGCTCTATAGGTGGGGGGGGGGGGGGGGGGCGGCGGGACGACGCACGCGCCGGTTCTCTGAACCAGTTGGTGGTTGGACCGGCCCGGCGGCGGTCGTTGGCGGCGCTGTGACGCACCACGTGTGACTCAGAGCGGCGGCCGGCGGCGCGTGGCGACCCGGTCCCTAATGAGCCGCATCCGAACCGGCCGGCCGAGCGCCATATCAGAGCGGCCCCGACCGACGGCGGCACACACCGGTCACGGCCGCGGCATCGACGGGACGGGCACCTCCGGCAGGACTGCAGGCAGCGCCCAGCGGACTACTGATAGGACAGGCAGCGGACCTCCGGCGGGACAGGCAGCGGACCTCCGGCGGGACAGACAGGACAGCGAGTCCGGCGGGACAGACAGGACAGCGAACTTCCAGTGACACAGTTCTACAGGTGAGCCCAGATAATGTATCAATACAGAAGTGCCCTGCGTGCGGCCTGTGGGCTGTTAAGGTCACGGTTTGCAGCTCTACGAAGCCGTATATCCACGGTCAGATCACCCACTGAGGACCTACTGCCAGTTACGCCGTGGCAGTGCCGTGCCACTGAGCTAGGCGACAAGGTTCAAGTTGGCGATTTCATGACCAAGCGAGTCCGTTGTGCATGACTATTGGAGTAGCCGAGCCGTAGGCATCGCCACCACGTCGGGCGCCCTCGAGCAGCCTTTACACCATCTTCAGGTGGAGAGTGCGACAAGATCTGACCGTGCTGCTCCTGACCTTACAGAGGACACCGAGCATGGCGTCGAGATCGAGCGTGCTGCCGCTGCTTCTGGCGGTGCTAGCCGGCGCTGTCGCCGTCTCAGCACACCGTTATGGCGCCGGAAAATGCGCCAACGTCACACCCATGGACGACTTCGATGCTAGTCGGGTAAGCTGTAGCCAGGCATCACATGCAATCATCGCTATCACCGTGCTATGATCTGATCATTGACTGTTCTGATGGATTATGACCTTGGTCAGTGCAATAGGTACTCATCCAATGTAGCGGCAGAGCATGCGACATTCGGGGTGGCTGGGTGTTACCGACTACCGTGTTGACTCATGAACCATGACTGATGACTGTTCGTTTGTATCTGGTCCTCGGGACCCTCACTGCCGACTGTGCGTTGCTGACCACCGAATTTCGTCGTTCCTCAGATGGTAGGCCTGTGGTACGTCCACCGCGCCTTCTCCACTTCCTCCACGTGCCTGACGTTCAACTACACGCTCACAACCACCGGCCTGGAGGTGGTGGAGACCAAGGAGCTGCGAGCCCTGGACGCCGTCGGCCTCGACCACAAGTACAGTTCGGTGGGCACACTGAAGGACAATGGCCTGCCCGGCGCCTACCAGGCCTCCTTCTCCACCAGTAAGTGCTGGACGTAGCGAAATCCGTTTAATCAAAAATGTGCCATTGGCATTGACAAAGAATGAACGAAGTATGCGTTGAGTGCAGACACATAGTATTTCACATCATTAACACGAAGTGAAAAGCCGGCATGCCTAGCGTCAGAGGTGAAACGATCAACAAAACAACAGCTAACAACTCCAACCTTGTTTCAGACCCCTTGAAGTCCAAGTACGTCATCATCTCTACGGACTACGACAACTACGCGGGCGTGTTCCACTGCCAGCACTGGGCCAAGCTCGTCCACAGACGTAACGTCTACGTGCTCTCGCGGTCACGAGACATCGAGGAAATCTACATTGAGAAGGTAGGAAGTCATTATATATGATTGTTCGCTGGATCTGTTTAGGTATTGGTAGCCGGTTCGTAGGGTCCGCAGTTGACTGCTGTCCTGTGCCGACAATCTGCAGCTGTAACCCGTAGAGTGTAGAGTGGAGATGTACGGAGCTACTACTGAAAGCAGATAATTGAAATGACTGTGCTGACTGCTGCGCCGCTGCGTTGCGCTCGTCAGAACGGTTTGCAGGCATGCTTGCAATCTCCCCCCCCCCTTCTGTTTCTCTCCTACAATGTAACCGTGTCCTGTGCTATGTCAAATCCGTCGGCGTATGGTGGTGTTTAGCCTGGAGCCTCCTATGAGAATCGAGACCTCCTACAGGTTCTAACAACATGCGACTGTTTTCCACAAAATCCGCCGCCGTATGCTGGTGTTTGACCTAGGTCCTAGAGCCTCCTATGAGTACCGCCTACAGACAATGACTACATGTGACCATTTTCCGCAGATCCGCCGCCGTATGCTGGTGTTTGACCTGGAGCCGGAGCAGCTGGAGAGCGTGTCACATGAGGCCTGCACCGACCGGGCCGACAGCGACTTTGACGTCCGGCTGGACGGATCGCTGTTTGACCTCCGGGACAAGGAGTGACTCAGGATCGAGCGCAGCCAATGAAGGGCATGAAGCAGAGAAGGGACCTCGAGCTGATTCGCTCGTAGAGAGGCACGGCTCGCCACTACTTACATAACTAGCTGACGGTAGTTGTGCACACTCAGGACGTTGTTAATCAATTGTGTGACCGGACGAGGGTTAAGTCCGTGTAACAGTCTACAGAGGATGCCTATCTCATGTCAATGTTAGCTGCACAGCTGTACTGGCGGTGCTCAATAGAAGATTATGGTCGATACATACCAATGCAGCTTTGTGTGTCCCCAAGAGTAGTATCACCGTTTCACCTGCACACACCAGGCATCAGGGCTCAGGCACCACCAGAGAAATGGTGGATGAAAAGTTGAAAGCTGATCAGTATCAGTGTCACAGTGAACAATGAACATCCTGCTTCCATCGTAGTCTGGGATCATTTCATGTTGTCATAATGTGATTTTAAATACACGGCTATAACATGAAATATCCTTCAATTTGACACTCATACATAGCTACCGTGCCCCAATATCTCCGAAAGTCATACGAGCTAACGTCAGTCTAGTCTCACTCGCTCGACGTTGACTTATTATTATCGTTCTTGCCGATCGATAGCCAGCTATTCGGTTCGGACCAGTTTCCATATGGTACATATTGCATATTGTATATGACCGGGTAAACGTATGAATGTAATACGTCCTCTAAAGGGTCACGAAGGAGTATTCTCTATAAGACGAAGTTAATGCTAAGGGGCGCTGTAAATGATCTTTGCCATCCATATTCAAGTCTTACGAAAGGGTGGGCCGGATAACTTCAGACGGCTAATGCTAAAAAACAACATTGTATTGACCTATTTATTTGCCCCTTTCAAAATAATGAAGGCCTGTCACTGGTGATAAGTAATATTCAGCAACTGGTGGTTGATGGGATACTGCACTAAAAGCAAGACATTATGAGGAATACACTCGTAGTTACATACACTAGCGAACACCACTGCATCACAGCGCACAGAACAATAATCTGAGGGACACACCACCGGTCCACCGGTCACCGCACAACACAGTATCACGTCAGACGAGCATCGACCAATGATCAGTATACGCACAACTCAAAATCAGCATGAAACACAGACAGCTCAGAGCTCAGTATAACCTACTTGGTAGAGTTCCGTAGACGGAGATGCTGAACGAAACTTCCGTTCAGCCGGTGAGCGCCAGTACAGAGGTCCGTTCCGCCTCATTTGGGGGCGCCTCAGAAGCGCTGGTCGATCGGAGGGTCCAGATCCTCCGCCATCTCGGAATCATCCTCTTCCTCGTCGTCGTTATCATCGTCATCATACTCGTCCTCCTCCGCCTCATCCTCCTCGTCGGCTCCGTCGACGGTGGAGCGTCCGAGCGGCAGCGCGTCGCTACCCTGCTGGCGCAGTCGGGTCAGCAGCTCCAGCTGCTCCTGCTCCTGCAGACGCAGCTCCTGCTCGGCATCCGTCCGCCGGTCCAGTCGGCTCCAGGAGGAGCAGGACACCACCGGGTCCAGCTTCGGGAACGGAGACTGCTGGAAGTTCATCGGTGATGTGGGAGAGTCTGAAAATCACAGCCGTCCGGTGATTTGAAGGTGTGAATAGTGATTAAAGTGCGCTGTCAAATAATGATGTAAGCCGTCGACACAGCTATACACCTTTTCACGGTCAAATATAGACATAAAACAAACAATTCAGTTATAGTGCAACCGATCACGACAGTTTAGCGTTCGTCATAGTCGAACTGCCGTACTGTTGAAATAGCCTGCAGTATTACTGCAATGTGTGCCCTGCCGCTTAAATTGGGCGTAAGAAGGTGTAGTTAGTTAGCGTTTGAGGGTAAGTTCATTGTTATCCCTGTCAACATAGCGCCGTCGAAGTTCAACAAGGATGAAAATGTTGCAGCCTTTGCCTGGTCATTTACTCGGGGTCATGCCAAGTCATCAAGCCAAGTACTTATCCTGCTTCTGTGAAGGTTACGTTTCGGTCGCACCTTCTTTGGTTGTGGAGGTACGATTTGCGTGCAGGCATGTCAAATCTCGTATTTTTCAGGAATGCGCGAAAATGGACGACAATAAAATCTTAAGCTTGGCAGCATTTATTTTATTTCACACACAGACGTGATTTTCACACATGAGGGAGACCCTCTTATATCATCTTTGCATCGTCCTATCTGCCAGGCTATAGGCAGTAAGAAACGAAGAAAAGGTAGTGAAGTAATACCAATCGGAGATTGTTGCTGACCACTACGGAGAACAAAGGATCGATATTTCATAAAAAAGAGGGTGGATGCAAGCCATCAAGTTTCTAATACCGATTGGTATGCCAGACGCAATCCATGCAACTGAAAATGGCCTTAGAGCCAGCAGTGTCCCTCAATGCTGTTCGTTCTATACACCCGGGGATTTGTTGCAGCGAATAACACACGTGTAGGCTTCAACCAGTCATCAAGTTTATCACACACCGATGCGAATTAGCTTCAGTAACCATCCCAATGCCTTAGAGGTCGTTCAGCTTATTGCCAGCGACTCATACCCGCGACCAAACGTCAGTGGTGTCCGATCATGCCAGACCGCGCTGGCGCCTGGCAGTGAGCAATAAAACCAAACCGGCAGGGTTCACAGCACTCACACGTCCGACGTGTCTCATAAACTGACGACCTCGTCACGGAGAGGTGCTTCCACTGAAGCCTTCGTCAGGCCTGAGGCTCGTCTGTCGTTATCCTGGGCAGAGTCGTCTACCATTTCAGTCGTCACGACGGTCTCTTCCACTGAATTTCGCGCCACGGATAGAGTTCGTCTACTGTTACCCTGGTCAGAGCTCGGGTCCGTCTACTGGCTCGCGGAGTCGCCCTCGGGCTTGGCAGCCGCCTTCTCCTGGTCCACCAGGAACCACTTGCACATGAGCGCCGTCCACAGCGACAGGATGGCACCCACGCTCAGACAGAAGCGCAGCGCCTTGAACCAGGCCGGGTAGCCGTACATCACCATATCCCAGTAGCCGGCCAGGCCGAGACCGCCGATCAGCATCAGACCGCCGGCGCTGGGCGGAGCCAGCAGGCCGGCCCAGGCCACCAGCGAGGGTGTGACGCTGCGCGTCAGGTTGGCCCAGTCGGGCCGCTGCGGCGCGCCGTCCGGCAGCGTCACGCCCCAGCGCACGCCGCCCAGGAAGGAGAGGATGCACGCGCCGTACGCCAGCTGGGCGTGCAGCAGCTCGGCGCTGAAGTGGCCGGTGCGCAGCATCAGCACAGGCGCGGCGGCGAACGGCAGCAGGCCGGCGGCGCCCAGCAGCAGCGCCGGCCGCGGCGACTGCGGCAGCTGGCGCAGGTCGTCCAGCACCACCAGAGCGCGAGAGTGAGCCGTCGGGCCGCGCCACACGGTCCGGCCGGCCGGCGGCAGCAGGCGCGCCGAACAGAGGGCCGGCGGCCGGCCCGCCGCCAGCCGGCACCGCAGCACGCTGAGCGCACTCCTGGTGGCACACGGGCAACACCGGGTGTCAGCAGAGCGGCCCGACCGCGGCGATGGAAGCAACTGCTAACTGATGAGCGGCATCCACATGCCACAGCTTCCATCAGGTGACTTTGGAAATGAGCATTCTCATGGAATTGGATGCACCATAGGCCTATGGATGCACCATGATGTATGACTGTTGACAGGATCAACTCATCCTGTTCACAGTCTTGACCTCATGATGCATGTTGGAACCATGCCACTTTGATCAGAACTTCATGCCCAGAATAAGCAAGCAACCACATTGAGCCTTAACTCTTAAGTGAAATATAATCACTCAGTTTGGCCTTAGCAGGATCATCATTCATGCCCTTCATAATTTGAAACAAGCACTTACTACCATAACTCAGAAATAACTCCTATCATGTGATCCACCAATCACCAATCCTGTTTGTTGTTTGTTTCTATACATGATTTGAATGCACAATGAATGTGTCTGGTGTCATCACTTATCAGAGAATAGAACCTGATCCCACAAGGCAATGTGAAGCAGCATCTCTTTATGGTCAGGTAGGTACAGCCAGCTGCAGAGTCGATGGATTTTCAGGTGACTCCGACTCTGACTCCGGCTTCACATATTGACTCTGACCCAGAGTATGAATCCAGACGGATCTATTAAAATCAATATCATGATATTGAAGCTCATATTGTAGATGTCTCTTGCCTGAAATGCCTGAAATGACCCCTTGTGCATGGCTTTGCATTGCAATCATGCGTTAAAAATAACATACAAAATTAAAAAGCACGCTCTGGAGAATCTACTCTCTTCTGCTTCTGTCGCTTTAAATGTTGGTCCAAAACAGCAAAATGACCCTTTTTTGACAAAATACAATTCCGAGCGCAGTATCATCAATCAAACAAGTGCAGTGCCTGACCTTGAGGCTTGAGCTGTGCAGCATTAACTCTGACTCCGGATTCTGAGTCAGTAGGATTTTGGTGACTTCAGCTCTGATTATGGGCAGAATTTCGACTGCCATAACAATAAGTATTCTTTCAACTTTCAGTGCCTCAAATTATGTTGCACAGCCTTGGAATCCAGTGAAGCAGAAAATACTGAAATGTATCATCTAATGCAAAACCCAAAGTGTGATGGTTTCCATCTCATCATCCAGATTTTCAGAACATGAATAATATTGCAATTTACCATAGACCTCTGTATACATGGACTGGACACAGAAAATCCGGCCATGACCACAACGGCCCTAAAAGTAAATGCTTATAACTCGAGAGTCAGTTCACCTACGACATCCATTTTTTCACCGCCGCATAGCCCCATTCATTGAAAATGATGGGAATCATCCGCCGAACCGATGCGGTGTAACGGGGGAGCACCAGCACGTGGCGCGTGAGAGATGTTTATGAAAATGGTGTGACAGTATCTCGGGAACGGCTTGACCGAATGAGTCCAGATTTGGCACCCAGCTAGGTATAACACACCTGCCAATAACACATGTCCCAATTTTGAGGTGCCGATGCACGTGCGCACGTGCACACCCCTTTTTTGTATCTCAGAAACTACTCGTCCGATTTCGCTCAAATATTGTATACAGGCAACAGCCTAACAACCATTGCTGGCTCACACCTCAAGCAAGGGGTGCGACTGCACGTGCGCACGTGCACACCCCTTGTTCATATCTTGGAAACTAGCCGCCCGATTTAGCTGAAATTTTGCATATACCCAAGTGTCTTATAACCATTGCTGGTGTTTGTCTCAATGTTGAGGTGCCGCTGCACGTGCGCACGTGCGCACCCTTCCATTATATCTCGGAAATAAACAGTCCCATTTCGTTGAAACTTTGAATACAACCATGGTCCCCACAACTACCGCTTATTCACACCTGAATAGTTGATATCATAACTAAAAATAACAACAAACGACTTAAAACTGTTGATCGTGTAATCCAACAGATTATGATCGTTGTAGTTGTATGCGGATAAATATCCGGTAGTTGGTGAGCATTTGAGCTAATTTCCTATGCTGTTGTATTCTAGGATACTTGTTCTCAAAAACAGTATAACGTTAAATCGGTTTTATTGCTCTGAAAGGGGATAAAAGTGCAACGCTCATGACGGACCGTCTTAAATAAATTCGTCTTAATGACGGCGACGGAAAAGAGCACGTGACTTTCTGTAAAGTATCATTGGCATTATTCCCAGACCTACGTGTTTTGTCATAAAATAGGCATAAAGCAAGGCATAAAGTTGGAATTGTACATATATTTAAGTTTCGCTTTTAAGTGTTTCATATTGAGGACTTATCAGGTTTCGGTTGAATAATTGGTGTCGGTGTGCATACAAACTGATACGTTATTAAATGTCACAAGTAGAAGGTTATTTGTTGAACAATTGTTCGTTTTTTAGCTGCATTTTGGAGAAGACCATTTACCTACAAGAGCCCACAGGAAGAGCAAGCAAACGTTCCTGATTGACGCATCGTTACATCTATACACTGTGGTTCCATCCACCCTTAGCCAGATCCTTCCAAGCGTGAGTAATGCTTTATAACTTGCTTCATTGTTATTTGTCTTTGCTGCTTTTTCTCTGGTATGTTTGCTCGCCAAAGTCGGTATTCAATAAACCAGATTAGTTACTGCACTGCCTGCCATGGTTGGAAGGCATGCTCGTAGACAAGATAATCAATGTCATCGAATTCGAATCAATCTATTTGTAAGTGTCTTTGATTAAACTGTAAAATAGCAATCTTGACGCATTTACATTCATTATTACTTTTAAGTCGTTTGCCTCTCAATGCAGATGTGCTTGTAGGACGTTGGTTAATATTAAGTATCACTGTGTAAAGGCAGTTTTGCAATACATAAATCTATCCGAAACCTCAATTTTACAAACACATTTACTTGTTCTTGTCATGCTATCGTAATGACTTTGTGGATCATGCTTGGCGAGGGCCGCTTGTTCTTAAAAGTAAAAGATTACCGCCAAGCACACATTATCCTATAAAGTGTGACCGACATACTTTTTTCTCTATTTCTTTCAGTGACGCCACTCACAGAGATAGTCAACGAGCCGCCAACGAACAATGCCCCTAGGATAGCACATCATCGAAATGCCAACTCCAGGAGCAGCAGCAGTCGCCGACATGATGTAGGAGGGAAAATTGATCAGCAGTGTTCGGTGCTTGCTGAAGAGTACAGTGACCTCATTAAGCACTATTTGGCACAGTGAGGCTGATACAGCCTTTGCTCCCGGGTGTAGCCCACGATGCAGCTCCACAGGCTGACCTGATGTGGAGAATCATTGCCTACAGCGTCGTTCATCGGGATGCGTGGACGGAACACTGGAGCACGCAGCCGCTGTCCTAACGATCCCGCTCTCCGCCATCTGGCTGCTCCAGCGGTAGCTGTGTGCGACTGTCAGCTGACCGCTGCATAGCCCCGCACAGGCCGTAGTAGCAGGGATCGAGCCGGCTCCGGTCGCCGCCCAGCAAACTATTCTGCCGGCCAAGGTCCTCACCGAGTTGTACGGCGTTCGCTCTCTAAAAGAGTGGCCCATTTAGGACATGATAGAAAAGGAGCGACAAGATCGGCCGCAGTGTCCGGTAGGCCGGCGAGGCCGAGTCGCTCTGCCGATCGAGCAACTGCTGACGCCTTTGAATCGAGGCAGCTCCTGGCTGGAGGCGCTGCGGCCCAAGTGTAGCGCCTGACGGCTGACGGCAGCACAATACAGCTGCAATGGGCCCCAGCCCACTGTGGACTCGCCGACAACGAGAGGGCGGGCGCCCTGGCCAAGGAAGCGGCCGGGCTGTCCCAGCAGATGACCCCGGTTGACGTCCGCACCCTCACGCAGGTCGTTGCGCGGTCCACCAAGAAGAGGTGGCAGGCGGACTGGCCAGCTGGCTGGTATCGCACCGTCATGGGGGACCACGACCCACGACATCCAATGCGGCCTTGGCCACCGGCTACATGGCCCACAAGGGTCGTGTATCGGCTAAACGCTACCGCGTGTACTTTTCTGTCATCATTTTGACGAACACCCAGACCGCACAAGGGACACTGCATGATGATCCAGTTTAGCAACCAAGAGCTCAGTAGCCGTCAGCGCCATATGAATGGAATGCCATCCCGCTCCATCCTTCTTCCCATTTTCATCCTACCGCCATCGGTGGTGGAAGACTATGACATGCACCAGCACTTATCCGCGGACATCCAACAGCTCTGTGTAAGCCATTACATTGTTGGGCATAGCCACTGTTGGGCTCTTGCTATTATTACAGCGGATTTCAAGGAACCTTTTCGAGAAGTGCAATAAGTGCTCGACCATTGGCGGGTCGGTGAGCCGTGTGACGCGGGAAAGCATATACTCTCTAGCACATCTTTTTCGAGTGCCCTGTCTTCATGGTGACTGATTGGGGAAAAACGGCACCTCTTCCACCCGAACAAGTACCCAACAGCTCTTCCCGGGATTGGGCGGTTCAACAGTGAGCCAGTTTTCTCAAAAAAAAAATCGCACAGCTAATTGATAAAGCGTCCGCGAGTGAATCCTGCATTGTTGTTAGCTCTTTTGTTTGCTTTGCTATTTGTCATGTGAAAATGCTACATCGTGCAGCTAACCGATGAGTGGGTACCTACTGGTTGATGAGCTGGATTTTTTTTTTCGGTGCTGAAGAACTATCAGCTATGTATACCTAAGTGTGCTCAGTCTGATCTGCAATACATATATTTTACAATGCATGTGCTTTTACTGCCAATTAACTTCATCGTTATACAGAAGTTCAGTCCCGTTCGAAAGCAAATTTCTAGGATACCAAGTGTTTAAGTCGCTAGTGGTTAAGCTATGGAGTACATTGCTGCGTAGAAGATCTCAGCAGAACAGAACTGCTAGTTTCCGAGCTACCAATTAGGGTTGCGCGCGTGGCGCGTGCGCACGTGCAGCGGCACTTCGAGCTTGTGACGAGAATCAGAAACAGTTAGCTTTGCTCTTGGGGAGGCATAGACAAAATTCCAGCTTAATCGGACGGATACTTTCCAAGATATAAGCAAGGGGTGTGTACGTGCGCACGTGCAGCCGCACCTGATAATGCAGAAGTTCAGTCCAGTTGGGAAATAAGTTTCTAAGATCCGCAAATGTATAAGTCGCCAGTGGTTATGGAGTACATTGCTGCGTAGAAGATCTCAGCAAAACAAAACGGAACCGCTAGTTTCCGAGCAACGAATTGGGGTGCGCGCGTGGCGCGTGCGCACGTGCAGCGGCAATTCAAGCTTGCGATGAGTATCAGGAACGTTTAGCTTGGCTCTTAGGGAGGCAGATACAAAGTTTCAGCTAAATCGGGCGGCTAGTTTCCAAGATATGAACAAGGGGTGTGCACGTGCGCACGTGCAGTCGCACCCCTTGCTTGAGGTGTGAACCAGCAATGGTTGTTAGGCTGTTGCCGTATACAAAATTTGAGCGAAATCGGACGAGTAGTTTCTGAGATACAAAAAAGGGGTGTGCACGTGCGCACGTGCATCGGCACCTCAAAATTGGGACATGCGTTATTGGCAGGTGTGTAATACCTAGCTGTGTGCCAAATCTGGACTCATTCGGTCAAGCCGTTCCCGAGATACTGTCACGCCATTTTCACAAACATCTCTCACGCGCCACGTGCTGGTGCTCCCCCGTTACACCGCATCGGTTCGGCGGATGATCCCCATCATTTTCAATGAATGGGGCTATGCGGCGGTGAAAAAATGGATGTCGTAGGTGAACTGACTCTCGAGTTATAAGCATTTACTTTTAGGGCCGTTGTGGTCATGGCCGGATTTTCTGTGTCCAGTCCATGTATACAGAGGTCTATGAATTTACATATGATATTCCCACAGCTGCACATCAGATAAATATTATCATTTCAAGAATGGGAGAGGCTAGTAATCAAAGTAACTTACATTCTGCCTAAAAGAGACAACAATCTTCAAAGTACCTGAGGTAAATAAAAACACTTAAGCCAGTTTAACGTAATTTAAATCGGCTTATTGCGTTGCGATATTCAAATATCAAATCTTGATTAAATCAAGTTAAAGATATCACATTCGATATCCTATTAAGAAATAATTATGTTCTTCGATTGCTAGTAGGACATTGTAGCAAATCACAGCCTCCACCGAAACTATGTTTACCAATGAGCTGCAATGAGCTTTCGCTGGCAGCAAAACTACAACGGCTCGTTCACCTAAAGAATACATTACAATTGTTTTATACGCGCCAGCAACGTCATGACTTACGGCTTCCATATGCTAGTATACCTCTACGACCATACGTTAGGGTCCAAGGACAATACAAGCGGGGGCGTATTTACAAATTGCAACCGAGCTCCGCCGTGGGGTAAGGTGGGCAGGGGTTTTCGCACTACGGCTGCGGGGTTGAACTACCGTCTGTGGTAGAGAGTTCAGGACGATGGCGCGTTTCATACGAAATCTGCCGCAATGTTTGTTTGCTTTTGAACTTGTACTGTTATTGCTGTGAATTCTTGAAGTGGGAGTGTTTCAATAACAATTTGTGGATTATTTGAGTTTCTTTATATAAACATAGAATAATATTATGAAACATTGTGTGGAAACTGCAAATACTGATATGATCAATTACTTAGTTTGGGAATTGATACACATTTTGTAGCGATTTGTCTGGCAAATGGTGTAACAAACCTCAAGCCTATCATGATCTGAAGCTGCTGTAACAAATCAAAATTGCTTTGATGTTACATAGTACCTTGTTGGAAAGACTGGAGCATGGTTCAAGATGATGTGTAAAAATTCAAGATTTGTGCGAAAGCTTGTGACTGAAGAACCAAAACAGTTCGATATGATGGCTCAATCAAACGTGGAAATGGAAGACAAAAGTAGAGTTTCAACGTTCCAGCATGTGAGAATAGCTTCAGAAATTCATAGACCTTGTAGCATTGCATTCTTTTTATGTACATTTATAGGTTTTGCTAGGGTATTTCAATTCATTGTGTCAGTTGAGATATAGATAGATGGATTGCGGAAAATTTCTAAAATCATTGTATGGTAGCTAGGTACTTGTTCGGTAAAAAGGTATGTGATGAATGCCATGAGATTTTTTTGTGATTTAATATATGATCGTTGTGGTACCTACAAAAATGCAAGCTTACTAGCAACTAGTTTCTGAATCAAATCGAAAGTATTTGCCATGAATGTAAATATGTACCTGCAAAGTATGTCAATAAATTTGTGTGATGTTGACCAGAGAGTTTTATCATCAGGGCATTTATGTCGCTTCTTACATTAGGTGTTAAGCATAGTAATTACGGATGAACTTTGTGCCAATATCTTCAATGCACAATGTATGTAGCATGTCTACAACCCTCACTGATCCTGCTATAGCTATAGGCATTTGGCACCAGCTTGACCAAGGGCATGAACTTCACAGCTGCACAACCTTTTTTCATGTACCACCAGTCACTTTTTTACTTAAGGTGCACATAGCACTGCACACAACAATGTGCAGAGGGCCTACACAAAAACAACATTAGTGTGCACTATGCAAAGCATTGTACCCTGATTATTTGAATTTTTTGATCACTCAACAGTCAGCAGTCAGGAGATAATTATTGAATATCACATTTATTATACATCACTTGTCAAACAAGAGCATGATGACACACATTTTGACAAGCAATCATGGTAGTACCTATTCCAATAAGTTGGACAGTCACCTCCCTGGGCGTCATTTTTCCAGGAAGGTACCTCTGCAGGTGTTGTGGTAGGCTAGGTTGAATTGGGTTAAGTTAGGCGAAGTAAGGTGGTTAGGACCAGGTCAGACCGTAAGGCCTGGTCAGGTTGATTTTAATCTTTCATTCTAATTTGACATAGATACCTATTACCTATGTTTTTGCTCCAGCCTAAATTTCATTAGGTAATGAGTTAATTTTGCTTTGTTTATATCTGTCTTGTTTTGTGTTTTTGTCCCTTATATTTTGCCCCATAGGCAAGGGTGGAGCTTTTCCAGGGAAGGTGTAGGAGCATATGATTGGAGGCGCTCAACCAGACGGCATAGGAGGGCACGGTTTCTGAACGCGCACTGATGCCTGATTCAAGCCACACTGTCTTCATGCGGGGCGGCGCGCTACTTAAAAGTCCCTAAAAGAACGGGAAGTGATGCCGATAGAACCTTCAATCATTCTGGGCTAACGCTTATGACCTGGAAAAAGTCGCGATCCCTATTCAATCGAAAACCTGTGGGGCGTGGGCTCTTGTTCAGCAGGAGGTGTATGAAGAGCCACCCGCCATAAGCACTGCTCAACCGCAGGCACAGGTTTAGACGGCGTTGGTCCGCATCAAAGCCAGTGTGCTGGAGAATCCATTGGCTGAAATGCTCCAGAACATTCATCACTGTGTTTTTATGAAAGGTGGCTACAAGCTCAGTTAAAAGAAAAAGTACCAGATTTTTTTGCTTTTTAATTACAGCGGGAAGAAAGGTGTTCGGATAATTTCGTTACACCCCCTGTTATGTTCAAATGGTTGCTAAATTCGAAATCAGCTCCAAAAACTAGCCTACAAACATGTAAAACTCGAAAAAGGAACCGAGGTCATCAAAGGTCATTGAGCTGACCTGACCTTCAGGTGACCTTGACACCCACCCTAATGCATGGGACCAGCATCGCTGCATCATATCACATGTTTCAACGCTTGAAACCACGTGAAGACTGCAACCGCGCGGCTAATGCGAGCCGACATACGCCGAATCGCGATTCGGGCCAAACATGGTCTCGAGAAATAGGTCACAGGTCAAAGGTCATTTGGGTCAGGGTAGGTGTAAAATTGATAAAATCGGGGGCATTGAAAGTTTCGTCGCGATCGGACGGTTTTTACGCGAGTTACTCACGAAAAACCGATAAAGCGCACCCAAAAAGGCAGAAATATGCACATGCGATATCCTATACTGCGAAAAAAGGTGCATCATTTTTTAACGTCGCCGACAAATTGTAATTACCCTGAGCTCAGGCAAATGTATGGTAGAAAATCCCCCAAGTGAAATACACTACGGCGGAAATAAAATACCCTACGGCGGAGCTCGGTTGCAATTTGTAAATACGCCAAGCGGGGACATTGGGGTTCTGTCGGCAAAGAAGAAATATTCAAGTTCATTTTAAAAGTCTACCGCGCAATATAGCATTCTTTTGCTCCGTTGCAAGTGGCACTACTCTGGCGGCGAATCTGGGAACTACTAACTGTACTCAGGCCATGTGACCTTGACCGGTTCCTGAGATTGGGGTCACGTGACGCTCGGCCCGCCGGCGGCCGGTCCCACGAGAAAATTCAAGTTTGCAGTGCAATTTTGCATTGACAGACATCACAGGGCCTCCTCTAACATACCCACTGGGTGGGCAAATGCCCACCCAGTCACCACAATTGCCCACCCAGTGGCGTCGATTTGCCCACCCAGTAGCAAATGCAAAAATCCTGGTCCGGCCGGACGTCCGGTACTACCTTTCTGGTCTTAAGCAAACTGGATGCTGTTTGAAGGTCAAAAAAAGTTTTCTGGTTGCCCGATATTCAGGGGCGTAGCCAGGATTTCCTCAAGGAGGGCGCCAACCGCACAGGGGCCCAAGATAACCCCCTCAAAATCCAAAAAGCCATCTGGTTGCATCCAATATTTTTTTGGAGGGAGCCCAAATAAATAGGAAAAAAATATTTATTAACAAAAATATTAGAACTTAGGGGGTAAGCAGTCCATGGGCCCTGTTAGATAGGCCCACGAATAGCTTCATAGAGTCGCCAGTCGGTTTTGAGGGCGGTCTGAGGGCCCGTAGGTCGGATGAGGGTTCTTCAGACCGTCAGAGGCCCCTACAGCGCATGAGAGCCTCGTAAGCCGTCTGAGGGTCATATAAGCCGCCTAAGGGCCACTAAGACCGACAAAAGCCCTCCTTGCACTTGCAGAGGCCCAGTCATGCCGACGGAGGGCTCTCTTAGACAAACTAAGGACCCGTTCAGGGCATTTGAGGGCTTCCTCAAACCGATAGGGCCCCCTCAAATCGACAGTGGATCCGATCCGAGCTCCCTCAAACCGATATAGGGTCAGACCAACAGTCGGAACGCATTGATTCTGTTTACACACCGTTGGACCCAAGTTGGACCCATCCCATCCAACTGGCCCCCTGGTTTCAATAGGGCCCCAAGGCTCTAAAATTGGGGCTCTCTTGGCCAAAGTATAACTACTCAGCTGTGTCAAAGGATCTACCGCAGGGGCCTTTATGTCGCCAAGGGCCCACTGTGTCAGCCAGGGGCCCCTATAGAATAAGGACCCCTGGCTTCCAGGGGGGGGGGGGCATGGTCCCTTTGGCCCCCTCCTTGGCTATGCCACTGCAGGTGAGAAACGTTCTTCCAGGCGACCAGGGGGCAGGGGCCAGGCGACCAGGCCCCCAGGCGACCAGGGGCCCCCAGGCGACTAGCCCTCAAGCGACCGGGGCCCCCTAGGCGACCAGGGGCCCCAGAAAACCGGGGGTCATCGGATGAGTGCAGGGGCCCATTGGGTCATCAGAAGGCCAGAGAAATGAAACTTCGATATCAATTTTCTTCCGAGTAAAAGACGTTTTATCCAGTGTTTGAAAAAAATATCCCGGGGCCTGAGGGGCTCTCCCATGGCGCGTTTTGCGCTCAAGGGAGGGGGCCATTGCCCCCGTGGCCCCTCCCCCTTGGCTACGCCCCTGCCGATATTGTTATTCATGGACAAAGCCAGCTAAATCTCTAAATACGGCTGAGCTGAACAAATAAGCAAGAATCATTACCGGTTCGGGTAGCCTTTACTACAATGTATTATGTTAGTTAGCCCTCGCCCGATGAGGGGGGTTGATGCACCCCCCTAAGGTTTTTCACAAATAACGTAAAAACGGCGGCGCTCAAATTTCGCATACCCTCTGGGGCAACCTTTTGGCACTTGTCCTGAAAATTTCAGGTCTCTAGTCTTTTCAGGTCAGGTCACCAGGTCACAAACCCGGTACAAGGTCAGGGGAAAATTGGACTAACAGTTTAGCGGCAACCGAATGCCAGAGTTTTTCGTTGATAGCGTGAGTTCTATAGCACGTAGCGCTACCAAATTTAAGACACGACTTGGAGCATCTGTTTGTCACTTGGCCTTGGAGTTTTAGGTTCCAGTGACCCGAGGTCAGGTCACAAGGTCACAAAAACTGGTGCATTGTCAAAATAGCAAGAATAC